TTAGAAAAATCGTGATTCACGGAGAACACGAAGACACAAAAAAAACGAATACCACGATACGATTTTTGTTTATAAACAAAAGAGGTGAAATAAAAAAAAACGAAAACTGTCAAGAGACCATAAAACGTCTAGATTTAATTAGATTCACACACACACCGTTTAACGATTTTGAGTAATTACTTTGCGTTCCCCGTCATCCTTTCGTTATTACTTTTATTTTGTATTATTTATGTAAATTTCGTTTCTTTCATATTTACTCTTTTTTTTTTGGTGTTTTCTTCCTCCGGTTCACGTGAAATTTATGCGCTTAATAATAAAACCAAAATTTTGTTTGTGTTTGTGTGTGTGGTGCTTCGAGAGTGGAGGAAACATTAAAGTATGCCCACGGATTTTCGGTCCTCCGGCGCCGTCTCTTTCCTTCTTTCTCTCTTACATTCTTGCTTTCTTTTCTACCCAAAGATTCTCTCATCCTCCTCTTCATTCTCATCCTCAACCAAAGAACGAAGAAACACGGTCCGTCGACGAAGGACCTTATGTTTCTCGAAAAGATATTAAAAATATATTTGTCGAATTAATATGTTGTCTTTTTTAAAACGCGCACATAACTTCGGGTTTGAAATTTATCGCGGGTCAAATTTGAATATTTATTAAGAAGGGACTCATTCCTTCTCTCTCTTTTTTTCTTTCATTCTCATTCTCTTCTTCATCTTCTCTTTATTCTTCTGCTTCGTTTCAGACGCTGTCTCGTCCTATCTTCTACTTCTTTTTTGTTGTTGTTGTTGTTTTGTTGCTGTTGTTTCTTCTTCTCGGATATACTCTCTTTCTTATTCCTTGTCTCTCTTCGAGGATTGCCCGGAGAATGAGAGAATATTCATCCATCGAGATAGAGAGCTTCTTTTAGTGTTATTTTTCTTCCTCGGCGTGTCCAGAAATGTTGGGAATGCGAGATGTCCGCCACGGAAAGCGCGCTTATTAATCTTTCGCGTTTTATTTATGCCCAACCGAACATGATTAAACGCTAAATTAAATTGTTTACAATCGATCAATTCGTTGAAAGGCGATTAGACCCAAACCACAAAGATGATGAAGACCTAAAGACGAAAGAAAACATATACATTATCATGTTTTTATTATTTGAACTCGTAGAATTGATTAGTTTCTTTTTTTTTGGTTTTTTGTAATTAAAATTATGTATTACAACTACTATTATTACGCAATATTTGTCAAATAACTTAAATCAAGACAATTATCACTGGAAAACATAAGTAATTACGAATTAAAATATATATTCCAAAATATTCTTCTATTTAAAACTTAGCTATTTTTAAGAATTACTTGGAAAGTGGTTTGGCAAGTATCGCGTATTGAAATTTCTTTTGTATAAGAAATAATCGGAAAGTATCGCATACTGAAATACAATTATTTTTAAAGCTAGTTAAAAAATGTAAATGATTGAAAAGCATCGTATATTGAAATTTCCATGTTTTTTTCAGAAATTATTTAAAAAAAATCGTATCCTTATATTCAACAAAATACTTTCTATGTAATACGTAAATAACTTTCCAAAAACTAATTATTATAATACTAAATTAATTAGACAATCATTGAGTTAAGTAATGTTATTTTTTTTAAATCAAATTCATTTGAGATACTAACGGAGTTATTTTGTTTTACATTAGGTTTGATAAGTATAAAGTTTAATTATACTGATCAAACAATGTAAAACAAAATAACTTTACTTCACCTATTCGTAGTCGTCTTATTCCAATATTGTAAACCAATTTGATGTAACATTTAAGTTAAGTAAACTTAAAAATATAATATTTAAAATAGTATCTATTGTGTAAAGAAAGTTAATTTATTCATTTAATTTCATTATTTTTATACTAACCAAATCTAACTAAATGTTGTTATTACACTAACCTAACATAATCTAACCAAATATCAGTTGATCCTAACCTAAGTTGCCCTAATCCAATACTCTATTCCAAGCACAAGCAAATAATTTAACGTAAACTTAAATAAATATTTAATTTTCTCAATCCTAAGCTAAAGTAACTTAGTTTAACCGAAAGTTAAGTCAAATGTAATTATCATCTACTTTTTTTTTGGTTTCTGTTTTGTTGCTGTTGTTTTTTCTTCTCGGATTAATATTCATTTAATTTTATTATTTTTATACTAACTAAATGTTTGATGAAAATTTAACCAAATGTCAGTTGATCCTAGCCTTAGTTGCTCTAAGCCAATTAAACATGACCTTGTCAAATTAAATATTGAATTTTCTCTATCCAAAGCTAATTTTACTTAGTTTAACCGAAACTTAAGTTAAATGTCAATTTTGAATTGAAATCTTGTTATATCAGTAGTAATTGATTGTAACGAACCGAATCGAACTAATGAGAAAAAAGAAGAAATCGTAGCAATAAATACGTATTTATCGACTAAAAACAATTGCCATGGTTGTCACGGCATATTCGATTTACGTTCGCGCCGTATTTGGAGTCAACAGGTGACGTTATTTGCATGGCGCATTATTAATATGAGTTATGCAAATACGAGTCCGCTAATGAGTAATAAAATTATGCGTCTCCGATTGCAGCCACTCGCAAGATCATGGAAATAAGCGCGAGCGCGTGCGTGCGATGAAAAAAAGAACACTGAATGACGAAGAAATGCAATCTCTGTCCAGCTCTGTCTTCTTACGCACCGTAATTATTGTTCTTTCCGTGATGTTTATTTTTGTTGAGAATTTCGTGTTGCGTGGACATATTTATGTCCGAGTCTTACAAACGAAATCGTAGCCTCGCGCTTGTAGAGTTTGGGTTCTACAGGATAGCCAAGATCTTTCACACAAACACACACACACATACAAATACATGTATACATGTGGAGAGACTCGCACATGCACACGCTCTTTCTCACGTTTTATTATTAATGAACCGAACAGGTAACAACTTGGCTCATTTTTAATCATAAAAACCAACAGCCATAACTTATTTATCATAATAATTTGTGAACGTACAGATGACAAGCTTTTTTCTCCTTTTTTTTCTTCTCTCCTTTCCCATTCCTCCTTCTTCTACTTCATCCTCCTCCTTCGCAGTTCGTTCTCTCGCGCCGCATCATCATCATCGCTGCAACCTAAATTCGTTATCTCGCCTTGCCCCGTTCTGATCATCATCTTCATCTCCGTCGTCCGTATTCATCTTTACCTCGTTTTCTTCTTTTTAATTCCGTCCGTCCGCTCGTTTCTGTGATGTACGTACGTACGTACTTAGGTGCACGTAATCGGCGACGTTTCCATTCCGTACACGTCGCCCCTTTTACATTTACACAACACGCAATTAATTAGGGGCCACGAATGAAACGAAAAATACCCTTTTGCAAACGCTCAGAACACACACACACACACATTTATATACGTATACACACTCATAGTTGCATGAATTGGGAATGGAAAGCGTTTCTCACGTCGCCAATTATACCGAATGTTCTGAACCGACTCGATTCCGTCCATCACTTAAGATAATTAAAAGAGAAACATGGGAAAAATATAAAGATAAACTACGTCCGAACGATGTCGATATGTTCCAATATATATGTATACTTAACGAACGAAAGCAATTACTATCAATAATCCATAATTGGCGCATGATCTTCGTATTGCATTAACATCACGCTGTTTCACTTCAAAATACTCTATTCAATTTATATCAACTTTAGCTCTTATACAATTCTTTAAATTTGATAAATTTAAACTTTAGTAACTATTTTGTGAAATTTTGTTCATGCTAAATGTCTAAAGCACGACATTCCACAATAAAAAAATCAATGAAACGTTTAACTCATGGACATTTTTCTATAATTTTTCGTTAATTTACTAGAAAGTAATTTCATAATCAACAATTTGAGTGAATTTTGGAACTTTTTGGAAATTTACTAATAATAATTGCAAACTTTTTATTTTTTTGTTGCACTCAATTTCTTCTATAACCTAAGATGACATCCACTAAAATAATAAAAATTAACATAATTTATAGTCAAATCATGTCAACTTATATAATATAACCTTGCTCAAAATATAACCTAACGTCGCATCAACCAATATATCAATACTAACCTCACTTATCGTTACATGTCAATTTAACTTAAGAACGCAAACCTAATCTCGTCAAGAAAATAATCATTATACTTACCGATATTTCTAAAATTAGGAATTGGAAATTTGTGTTGTAAAAAGTAAATAAGTCTCTAACAAAATTAAATACATCAGTCAACTTTATTTTCAATAAAATTTCTTTCGTTTTCACCTTCCCAACTGCTGCTTTATCATTCATCATCATCATTATTGTATTTCTTTTATTTATTTGTAACTTTGCGTCTTCTTTTCCACCCATATAAACATATTTTCAAATAATGTACAAGAGATCCCTGAAGAGATTTTTTTTTTCGTCAAATATTTTTGTGATTTTTTGTTCAACCGTTAGATTCATTAATTTATATATAATTATTTTTTTTCATTCTTTTCCTTTACTTATATAATAATAATATTATGTACAATATATTATCTATACAAAGGTGGTCCTATTGGTTTTTTTTTTATAATAATAATAAATTTTCTTTCTCCGAAATTCCTTAGCTTTTTTTGCACTCGTTCATTAAATTATGTTTTGCTTTTTCAGCCTGAAAGCGCTTTTTTATATATATTATATATAGTACGTACGTATGTATATATATAATATGTATATATTTTTATGTACGAGTTTGTTTTTGCAAGCGGCGATTGCACAGTGGATTTCATTTCCGGAAGTGTAATAATTGAAGTGAGAAAGAAAAACAAATGACAGTAAGTAATCGTACGTTTAAGATGAAGACAAAAATAATTGGATATAAATTAAAAGCGTAAGAAAAATATACACAAATATACAAGAATATATATATAATATGTTTTATATATACTATATCACTTTGTCATAAAATGTTCTTTGTTCGTTTCGCGTTTGTTTTTATTTTTGGGGCGGGTGAGGGGTTTTGCTATGGTTGTAGCTATCATGATCAGTAGGCTGTGGCGGCGCCTCCGTGATGCAAGTGTCCGAAGGGGTTGAGTCCTGCGAGGGGATCAGAAGTTGGTGGCGTCGGTTGACAGGACATGTACCATTCGCTGATAGCAGTGGGTGGCGTCGCGATGCCGGCCGGCACCGACGTCGACGGTGGCCCCACCTGATGGGCGCCATTGACCTGGGGACTCGCCGCCACAGAGATGGATCCCGCCGACGACGAGTTGGACTCCTCGCCGTCGCTGTCGTAGTGTTGCGGTGATCGTCCCGAACATCCGTGGACTTTCATGTGCTTCCTCAACGAGGACGGATGGGTGTACGACTTGTCGCAGCCGGCCACGCGACAGTTGTACGGTTTATCGGACGTGTGCACGTGCGAATGCTTCTTTCTGTCACTGGAGTTGGCGAACCGTCGATCACAGCCTTCGTACTCGCACTTGAACGGTTTCTCACCTAAAAATAAGTAAAAGAAAAACATCAGTATACTGAGAATTAAACGTCATCAGATTGATAGTGACAATTGTACAATTGATGGTTCAATTTCACAGTTATCAAAAATTAAAGACTACCAACCATACTAGATGTTACAGAACAAGTATTTATAAAATTCCAACTACAATTATCATATTGTTAAAGTCGACAAAATCCGATTGTTTATTGTCTACGCGCTGCAGACGAATAAATAAACACATCGAGTAACGATGAAACCCAATATCATCTGTATTTATTTGTGTATCCCTTTTTTTTGTGTTGTTGTTCCTGCGTTCATTAATTGGAAACGTAATTCCGTTCCCTCAATTTATAGTAGGAATTGAGGCGGAGAGAGAAAGAAAGAGAATCCAACTCGGTGTATCATCGAAGATGCAAGATGCACACAGAAAAAACATACACAGGTACATGAAATCCGATACTCAAACGGCTACCACCATCAGCCAAAAACCGAGAAAGTAGCCGAACGTATTATATCGTCGTGGGGTTCGAGCTGTGTAATTGATACACGCACACTAACGGGGATCCAATGAATAAGAAAAACGTCCAGAGGAAGGAGGAAGAAAGAATGTTTCTCCGATTTCAAACAATAAAACGAAACAAACTCTCATCTCTTCTTTTCTTCAATTTTTACTTTTTTTTAAATATATTTTTTTATTTTTTGGATGCTTCGGCAAAACAATAACGATACGGCTCCGGTTTTCGTTTCCATGACAACTATGACACATTTCAAACGATTTACCTGACGTAGGTAGAGACCGATAGATGCCGATTGCCATGGCGATAAATTTGCATCGGACGTCGGTTCGCCCTTCATTTTTTTTCTCTTTCATTTCTTTCTTTTCTTTCTAACTTTTGTTTTGGTTTACACTCCCGCGCCTCGTTAATAGCCCACACGAAATGGCATTTTCCATGTTCCCATGACAATACATAATATTCCTAGCTTGTCCTTCGCATTGGTTTACGTAATAACATCGCAAAGTTTTTCCAATAGCGTAAAAAAATTTCAAAAATTATTAATTATTGATAAGATAAGATTGTGAAGAAAAATTTTCTATTTTTTACAATTAATTTTAATTATAGATTTCCAAGAAGTTTGCACTAATTTTTATACATTTTTTTTAATTAGCTTCAAGTTTTCAGAATTTAAAAATCAGAATTTCAATTATTTGCAAATTTTTGTATTCTCGAAGTTATATAACTTATTCAAATAATTTATTTGTTTAAATGATAAATAAATATAAAGCATTAATCAAATGAAAAATGTGAGTAGATATGATTTAATTAATTGAATGTAAAAAATTCCTTGTTTTTTTTTTGTTTGTTTCATTCTTTTGTTTCTGAGTGAGTGAAGCCATCCATTGTGATTACTTTTTGGGGTTCGGATCCAATTGCTTCTGATGCTAATCTAAAACGCTTGTTCTGAGGGGCGACGATTACGTTATCTCCCAAAGTGGGTCTTTAACTTTGCGCCTCAGCATCCTTATCTCCGAGAGACCAGAAGAAAAGAATGTTAAACAAGGTGTAATACTCGGGTTTTATGTACCAAAAGACCGTGTCCGAAATTACAACAAAAACCGAACAACGCACACAAAAAATCCGACTCCTTCCCATTATTCTTTTTTCGCATTTGGCTCTACATTTACGTTTCGACCTTCCACATTTATTTTTTCCCTCCTTCTCATTCTCTGATTCTTCTTCTTCGTCTGGATGAGACGAGAGCTTGAGAGGAGGCGGGCAATAAAACCGTCCGACATGTAAACATCCTCGTGACGTTTCTTCACTCCCCGTTTATTTTCATATTTCTATTTACCATCAAGCATCTACTTCTTCGTCCTTTCATGAGATTCTCCTCTACCTGACTGACGCCCGTCAATCCCGTCTCTGTCCTCAGTCATATCCTCTCGGGTTCAACAATTTTCTTACATTTCGTTTCAACTTTTTGTTTTCCATTTTGTTCTATTTTCCAATTCCTAACCTTTTCGGAAGGATAACGGAACGCGGCACGCTCGAACGATCGTTTTGTTTTATTCATCGGAATTCTGATGGCTTTGCGTGTGTGTACGCACGATAACAAACAAAAAAAATGCTCTGGCAGTTAATTACGAAACGAACGTTGTTCGTACAACACAACATACATCAAGAGCGAGAAGGTAACTAAAGTTAAGATTCAAAATTATTTGAAATTTTTAAAATATTTCTGTTTTCTTTCTTTTTAATGATTACCTTAAAAAAAATAAAGTTATGAAATTCATGACAAAATTATGTATTTTTAAAAATTAAATTTATAATGCAATATAAATAATAATAATTTTCCCTTTGGTTACAATTTTTTAATAACCTTTAGTGCAACAATAAATATATACAATAAAACCTTAATAGAATAATAATAATAAACCAATAAGTTAACTGCTACAAAGGACTATCTTTCTGTTCGGAAATGCAAGATATTTTCGAACTAAATTTGAATTTATAATTTGAAATTTGTCAATCTGAACCAAGAAATGTGTAATATTTTATCAATCGCAAGCCCGACAACCGAAAGACTGTCAGTGGAAATCCCACATTCGAAATCCCGACGTTTGAAATCCCGGCTGGCTCAAAATCCCGACGTTCGAAATCCCGACTATATCGAAATCCCGACAGTGTCTTTTATTATTATAAATTTATACAATAACATTTTTATGGTAGTCGGGATTTCGAACGTCGAGATTTCAATAGACGGCATTTGCTCGGGCTTGCGATATAGACCTATATTTTATACATACAATTATTTTATGATAGAATTTCTTCTAAAATAAACTGAGTAACTTTGTATATAAGCCATTTCTTTTTATGTTTGGATTATGTCAGTTTTTTATAATTTGAGTAATGATATTTAGAGTTAAGGTGTAGCAATAAAACTGATGATTAATCTAAAGGTATAATTTACTGTATTCGCTCGCAGCAAAAACAGCGCAGACTTATTTTTATGGCAATGCAAGATCGAAGATATCCGAAAGCGGAAAACAAATGCAGAATGGCCAATCGTAAGTCAGTGATGTACGGGGTGCGTCAAACGCCCACGTCCACTTTCCATAATTACATCAACAACAACAAAACAAATCTCATCATCATTATCTTGTGATGCTGCAATTCGCTTATCTCTTTTCATTCTCCTCCTTCACGTAATTGGCGTTGATGCTTGTCGTCGTTGTTCTCCTTCCTATTCTCGTTGTAATTTCCGGTAGTCCACGCGCACCGAGATCAACAGACGTGATCCACAACTTCAACTCCGTTTTTATTTTCATACGCAATTTGACGGTGAATTATGTAAATTCCGTCCGCCCACGCGCGCCGCATTCCTCCACCACAAATCTCGACCATCGATCTAACCAAAAAAAAATAAATGAAAACGGAATTTATACGCGCGTTCAACCTGGTCAAACTCATCCCGTATTTCGTTTTCGTTGTTGGTATTTGTTGTCGCTTTTTATTTATTTTGTTTTACATTTTTCTTCCCGCGCGGAAGGAGGACGCTTTATAGTTTTTTTCCGGTTTTCGATTGCAACGAGAAGGGTAATTTGATATATTGAGAACTCTTGCGGTTTCGGGGTTTTCTCTCTTTCTCTCTTGCTCTCCATTCAGTACCACCGTCGTTCGTTCGCACAATGAGCCACTTCATTATACACGCTCCTTCTCGTTCTTTATATCCGCTCCGTGTCCCGGAATAATGTTTTATTGTTTAAAGTTACCATTGTAGTGAATGGAAATGGAGCGAACTAAAAGAGAGAAAGAATGCGAGAGAGGACGGCAAGATTTTCGAAAACTATTATATATAGTTACATACGAAATGCGTAACACTGGCATCTGGGATTACGATGACTTAATCGGTTTAGTCTAGTTCTGGGAGGGGTGATGATACCTACCCTCACTCTACTAAATGCATGTAGGATATCAATGAGGAAGAGAGAGAGGAGATGAACGCAGCAAAGGGATGATACCTCCAATTCTCCACCCATTCGATGAGACAGATGTTCCACATTTCTGCCCTACGCACCTATCCGTGTACATCCCTTTAATTCCCTAATAGAGCCATCTTTGATAATAAATATTTATCACGCATTGTCCGTGTTTGTAAACACACGAGACGTGTTTATAAAGAGAAGAGAAAAAAATCGTTATAAACTTTAAATTTTTTGATAGCCAGGTGCACTCATCCCGTTCCAAAAGAAAGAGGATTATATAACCTTACTATCTCCATAAACGTCACTGTCAATGCTCGGTTGTCATTGAATTACATAACTACTTTTCGCGTTGCTTATCACGTTACCAACTGTCACAATTGAGCCATCATTTTATCAAAGTACCAACTTAATTGTGTAATACGATGCTAATTGATATAATATCAGATGAAAATGGAATTACAATTGCTACGATGATGAAAAAGTTTTAAAATTTGTTATTACAATTATTCTGTCACCAATATAATTCTTATTACCAACATCAATAATTGAAATGGAATGCCAAATTAATTTCAGACTAATGTCATGTATGCTTTCAGATAATATAATGAATTTAAATACAAAAACATCTTGACGAAACTTGTCGTTATTTTATCAATTAATTTATGTTATGTAATTTTCATTTATATATTGTCACATGCTTATATATGCATCAGTATGAATATAACCTACTATCTCTTAACGTATATATCTCTTTGATTCGTTAATAATTTTGTTGTTTAGTACTTGAGTATACTTTTATTTGTGTATACACGTGTATGAGAACAATATGTATAACCTCACTGAATAAGCGTCAAACGTTTAATGAATCGTCAAATATTCTTGAGAATTAGTTTGGAAACTTTAATTATTTTGTGATTAAGAAATGTTTCTTGTGTGTTAACTGCAGAAGTATAGGTTTGTTTATTTATTCAGTTCGTCGGTTCGCTTTCATCTCTCCGAAATTCCCATTCACGCTTC